ATAAAGATAGCAATCTGTAAAAAAAGTAACAAGCGGCTTCTCTGCCGCTTTTGTGGCCTTGCATCGTCTTCAGACTGCGGAGGTTGATAAAAATATCAATTCAAACGAAGGAACAGCACATAAACTGTGCAGCCGTCGGGGCAGGACCCGCGCTGTTAGCGGAATGTAGTTTCTGGCAGACAGGGGTGATTTTAATAGCGATGCCAGTCTACAAATCAAACAATCTCGAGAAGCTATTGTGCAGGAATTCGAAAATATCGCGGGAAATAGTACTAGACAAAGGGGACGTACATACCGGGATGTTCGAATTGCTCAATCGAGATTCCTTGATTCAACACTATAGGGTGCCAACTGAGGGTGTGAGAGGGAGCTATTACGTTCCGGAAGTGGCTCACACAGCCAAGTGATTATTTTTGCTACAATAAGTATTACAAAAAAAAATCATTTTCTTGGTTAAACTCATTACCAGTCTGCCCAGAGACGGCATATCTTAGTCCTAGCACTTGTACGGCTAAGATTTGCCTTGCGCAGACTCTTCACGGCCCTTCACCGCTTTGAATCACGTCGGTTATCCACTCACGATGACGGCGCCTCTTATAAAGTGCAGCCGTAAATTGATTCATTGGCGGTCACACTTCAACTTGCACTGCACTTTAGTTCTCGGTTGATTGAAGTTGATCTCCAACCGCGACATCTGCCAGAAAATTAGCTCGACTCGCGAGAAGAAAATTTGGATTGTGATGGAAAATAGCCTCCGGAAGTCCGATTTTTTTACAGTAAATCAGCCAAATTCTGGCGAAAAGGCGGAAGTAGTACACAGTGAGCACAAAGCCGGCTACCGCGAAGGAATGATCCGGTGATCGATGATCGTCGATCGACTTTCTTGCCTTCGCCTCTCACCACGGTTTTTTTGCTACCCACCTACCACCCGAGTCCTGGCTTTAAATGAAAAATGGGTTGGTGCTCACCCGAAGACGTCACTCACGGTGAATCCATAAAGACCGGTTTCCGTTCCTCTGCCACAATCTATTCTCTTTGGCAGATGACTTGGCAGCTAGCTATAGTAAGTGACCTGTTCGATGTCACCATGGCACAGGATGGATATTGATGACCGTTATCTTTCCTTATGCCGTGCCAATCATGCGATGGTTTGCTAATCTACGACCTGACGACTCAGATCACCTGCGAATCTTTATTGTGATGAACCTCGCTCCATCATATTCATAAGTCGCACATGCTCATCTGTTCCTGATCGATTCATCATAGTTCGTGTGGGATACTTCCCAGCCTGCTTAGATTCCATATGTAAAGCTTGAGGGCTGACAGCATAGAAGCGTGCATTGTCAGCTTCCTTAGGTGCGCGGGCATTGTTTCTTGGGAAGCACACTTGTATAGATACAGGAAGAAAAGCACCTCGCGCCATCATCCCTCATTGACACACCCCTTCTTTGATGTTCCTCTGGTCCTTTCTCGTCGATGTGCTGCTGCTAAAGGCAGCTCGCGAGGCAGCACAGGTGGCATCCCCCTCTTGGCGGGTATAATCTCTCTATTTCTTCATTATTGTTGTGGCCCCAAGTTAACATTCACGCACGGCACGTAGAGTTCGAATATCACGACATCCGTAGCGCATTGTGTACATCTACCAGCCTACAACATGCAAGGTATGAGCATGTCGTTGTAGTGTCTGTCTAGGAGAAACTATGTCTGGCCGGGGTAGCACTGGACATTGCCCTAGACAAACTTGGTAACAATGGTCTATTCGAAGGTATGAGCCTGATTCTGCTCATCACAAAATCCTTGATCACATTGAATCTCCAAAGACGAGGAAGAGGATTCCTTCGGAGTTTTGGGCAATTTTTAGTCTCAAATGGCATTGTTTAATATCGCTATGAATCAGACAACGTATGGGGGTCACACTCACATACTTTGATGCGATAGATACTTTCTAATGTATCTATGGAAATCTCCAATGACCTCGCTGATTTGACTGCCACCCGCCCAACACCCGCCAGGTTATCCGCTCTATTGACCGAAGCAACATCCAATCCTGTCAATCCGAAACGGCAACTGACACCGGGGGCAAATAGTGACGCATTTGTTTTGACATGCGGCGGACGCATTCAGTCCGCATTTGTTGTCACGGTACAATTGCTCTTTGTGACCACAAAGCCAGGCTTTGTGCTGGCTTTGTGTGCATGCTGGGTTCCCTTGGACTGGGTGAACAAAGCATGCACAAAGACTGCACAAAGGCTGGCTTTGTGGTGAAAGAGACCTATTGTGACTCATCACAACAAATGCAAACCAGATGCGTCCGCTGCATATCAAATCAAATGCGTCAATCTTTGCCCCCGGTGTGAATTGGCAGATTTCATATATTCACATGCCATATACAGATAGTCTAGCCGTTCATTTTTGCCGGTGGCACTCAGTGAGGTTTCTGAGCCCAGGATGGCGTGCGGCGAGGAGTGGTGTGCGTGTGCGGACTCCGGAGGAATCGGGTCCTCGGTGCCAGATTCTGCATCCATGAAGTCGTCGCCGCCGGGGTGGGGGGATGTTTCACGCTGGTCCATAACAACGATCTCGGCATCAGTTCGGGGCCATATTTCATAAAAGGAGGACAGGCCGGTAAGGATATGCATCGATACGACGCTTGAAGCGGAGCTGCCACCGGATTACCCTGAAAGCCGGCTTGTCATATTTTCAGTTTGGGGCACCGCCTCATATTTCGTTCGTTGACCACCACCACTATCGTTCCATCGTCATGTAATTTCTTGCCCTCACCGGCCACATTTATAACTGAATCTATGCGTCATGGTATACAGTACCCTGTTTTCGATGCCTGTGAGTGGTGGGTTTAGGACTTTTTCTAGAGGTCAAGGGGCATCAAAATGCAGGACGCTAGCTAATTTACGAAAGTAACAGAGCAAGGATTTCGGTGTCCCTTGGACCTAAGGCATAATTCCGCGCATATTAAGAACACTGCTGGACATCCACCAACCATCGCGCCAGTCGGTTCGGCGGAGCTGCTTCACATGTTAGAGGAGGAGGGAAACGCATAAATGAAACCAGGGAGCGCACCAGACCCTTTGCGTCCAAGCGGGGAAAGTGAGGCTTCATCTCATCAAAGCCCTGGGGATCTATCTCGAACTCCACGATGGGCGGTTGTTCCATAGGTATGGTAGACAATTGAATGTCGAGCTGCTCGCAGATCCCTGATGACAGTGAGCCGTTGATAGGGACAAGGATGATTGTTCGAAGGACGTTCGAGGCGGCGATGGTGGACAGAAATTGATGAGTCCGTTTGCTGGTGCCCCATTTCGTTGTCCCAATGCGCAACAGCGCAAGCTTTGGAAACGCGGAAATGACCACCGTGTTCGCAGACTCCTGTGAAAGACATGGATGAGATAAATAGGGCCACGGGAGAGAGCCGCACATAAAAGTCCTCGCTAATATCCAGGGCTTGAATAGTTCCTAGCGCCGGCGCGAATGATACTGAAGCAATGAAGTTTGGCAAACTTGAACGCCCAATCGATAACACCTTTAAGTGGGAGAAGTCGAAAAGGCGCGAATCGCAGTATCCCAGGACTTGGTCGGGCTCGGACTCAATTCGCAAGGACTCCAACACAAGGGGTGTGGTCAGCGACGTTGCGACTGGCGGCGAGCCTGAGAAAGACCCCTGCACTTTACTGTCGAGGTAAATGTGGCAGATGGTGGGCGAGCACCGATCCCAGACCCGCATGTAGCCTTCGCAATCGAGGAACATGCAACCTAATTTGACGCGGCGGAGGGTGGGTAGGCTCAGCAGCTGCTGGATCGCAAGCCGAGCCTCTGAGAAGACGACTATGGAGATGGAGACACTGGTGAGATGAGTGAATGGGAAATAGCATATTTGATGGAGAGTCGAGGAATGTGCCTCGAGTCCCTCGATATTGAAGGACTGAATGTGTCGAATTAAATGCGAGGAGAGAGCCAGCATATCTCGGAGTCGCTCCCAGGGGGCATCGTTAACCGACACAATGCCATTTCTACTTGTGACGGTTGGTGCTCGAAACAGATGGGACTGTGACGGATACACCCAATGCCGAGAGACTAAAGCACAGGCCTTCAAATCGCGGGGAGAGTCGTGAAGGTAGTCGATACAGTGCTCTAGCAGCTCTGGGATATCCAACGGGGTGGGGTGATCCATTCGGGGTGGCATGTAGGAGATGAGAGCGCCAGTTAGTCGGTTGCGAGTGGGAAGTCTGTCAAGAGAGACTAAGCGCCAGTCGAGAGCAGTCGAGTGCCGGCAGATGATGATGCTTCGCACGGGATCAACTGATAAGGCACACGGGTTTCACACCATCACGGACCTCTAAGAGCGCCGAGACACACAAAAGTACCAGGTATATGGTTGGAGAGCGGGTTGCCATGAAAAATCGATGGTCGACAACGTGGCGCAATGGCTGGCGTGCTTGTATAGGTGGTGGCTGTGCAGGTGGCAGTGCCAAACGGCGATCGCCACGGACATGCCGCACAACTTGGAATCCACTGGACCGAAGGGACACTCTGAAGCCAGTTGGAGTGCCTATGCTGTCCCACATATCAGAAACGGCCATCACTTGAGTCTTCAACGAACTGTGACCTACTGTGTGGCCACATTATCCACACGGCACTTTACTCGGACTTTACCAACCAAGTCCTGAGGACAGAACCGGAATTGGATGAAATGTATGTATGTCCACCGCACACTGTAATGGGTAAGCAGTGGGTTATGCCACCCTTGATTCAAGCTAAAAGTTGAGTATTTAAATCTCGTCAACAAAATATCAAGCACCGTGGCGCAATGGCAAGCACCTCGGCAGACATCGGCCATCAAGATAAATGAGTAGACATCACATCAATCAACCCCTTTCCAGTTTGCGAGCCCCTTTCGACTTGGTGCAATTTTTTTGCAACTCGTTTCTACTTGGAGTAATTGGGAACTGTTTCAATGTATAATATGATCTGTTTATCTTCACAACGGGTGCGTGGCGCAATGGCTAGCGTGTTTGGCTTCGATGCCCTGTACGTAATCCGACCAAAAGGCTGCAGGTTCGAGTCCTGCCGTGCTCACTTTTTGTTGAGGTCGAATCATTTGGTTGTTGTTTTCCAATTAAACAACCCCATCACGGCGGGAGCCATTTTTGGACAACTCAGCCTTCTCCCGTCTTTGCCCTTTCATTTCTAATGTGCACAGTCACATGTCGGAGCATGCTGTTAATATACAACTAACCTCTGCTGCGTAGGTTGTACCCGAAGTAGCATGACGACAAGCTGCAAAACGGCCCCAATATATTTTGACGATGAGAATGGTTACTGTAACTATAGAGTAGGAATTCTCGTCCAAATGACCATTCCAAAATGCAAAAGAAAAAGGGAGTGGTGGGTGGGTGCAAAGAAAACGGGAGCAGAGCTCAAGGACAGACGGTGAGGCGAGCAAGGCTCGTGGTGGCAGGAAGAGCAAAGCTCGACCAATAACCAGCAAACTGGCACCAAATTCCCGTTCCTGACTCAGTCTCTACTACAACTGTAGCCCCAAATCAGAAACTCGGTGCCAAGCTACCAGTGGGCGGTGCGATAAGCAGAGCTCATGTGCAATGGTGAGCGAGGCTCGGGAACAATGGGCGAGCATGACACACCAAAGATCATGATGGGAAAGGGTCGGATTTAGGGGGGCCAATGTCCGCAGGAAATGGTTCTCCTAGTGCAGAGACCTCTGAAAAGGCTCCTTACCCTTGGAACGCACTTTTACTCCAATCAATAGCCTGAGCTGCTCAGTGTAAACCATGCCCTGGTCTACAGTGTACAAGACTAGCAGTTACCCTTGCTACGCCACGGGGATAACAGATCAACAGTTCAATAGACTCATGTTCTGAGTTGAAAATGCCACTTGTCACTGACTTCAGTTGACTCGTCGTGACTTGTGCACAGTTCCAGAAAAAATATTCTGACACAGAAAGACTTGATATGAATACAGTGTCCCAGATATTCTTCTGTGAGATCAACCAATTTACAATATTCAACTGAAACCTCTCGGGGTGAGCTACCGCATTCGTACTATGTATTTTTGGCCTGTAATCCAATTCCAAACACTGGGGGTAAATGTCGCATGTGGATACCTTTTGCTTCCAATGCATGTGGGTGTGACATTTGACAAAGGTCTTTGTAATCTTTATGCCATTAATCTTCTGAATACCGCCTAAAATGTAATTAGTTACCACAGATACAAGGGATGGTTTCAGGATAGTTAGCAGTGAGTTTTCAAATAGTGATGGGTGATTCTTACCCTTGACAAAGGCTTTGTTTGCGCAAGCTGCGACTCGGCTGCAGATGCCGTCAGAACTCCGCAGAGGGACGGCATGATGTGGTGCAGCCACAATTTATTCAAGACTTCATACTACACTTCCCGACCACCAACCCCTCTCATCGAACCTTCCACCAGGCACATATCCCTCCTTCACTGGCCAGCGGCTTGCATGGCGGAACCACTGGTCAAAAGCTCTTGGTCCCTCACCACTGACAGTTGAGACAGCTGTGCAGTTTCCCCCTCCCAGGAGAAAATTTGTAGCTGAATACTAGGCGACCTAACCGAAGATGGAAACAGTGGTTAACAGTCCATTACGGTCCAGGTCCGAATCGTCCCAAAATTTGTCAAGTTCCTCCAGCACCAAGCAAAGAACCGCCAAACAAAGAGCCAACAAGAAAACAACCATAAATTTGAAGCCAAGCACCAAAGCAGGAAATCCAGTCTGGTTCTATCCCTGGACTGGTAAACAGCCAATTATTGTAGTATTACATTCAATTGGGCAGAGGGTGTGATGCGTGACATCTTGAACATATTACTCAATTCGTCAACCTCAGACGTGGACTGTGAATTCAAGTTCAGTGGCAGCCTTGTAGACTTTTTCTTAGCGACTGATTTTTGTTACGCTGGAGTTGTTATGCCACTCACAGCAGCAGAGATTGGCGAGATCATCTGTGGAATCAACAAGGGTGGTGTTTGTGGTCTCAAGTTGCTTGGAATGGTTCAGGAGAGAGAGGCGGGGACTAGGAGAACATACAAGATGGGGAACATGAGTGAGATCTGGGCAATGTGGTAGGGTCGGAGTGCCCGCATGCAGAAATCGTTTTTATTCACATTTTATATTTGCCCCTATTGTATGTTACATTATTTGTTTGTATCGTAAATAGAGACCCACCGTGCAATTTTACCATCGTACCACCATCTCTACAGCCAGTGGAGGGCAAGCACCCAGAGGTAGCATCAACACACCTTGCCCCTTCCCTTTGGGAACACCATCAGTGGGCTTCTAGCCACCAACAAACCCGTCTCATCTTGTTTCTCACCCACTCTCATTTGGCACCACTTCTGCACGCTATCGGCACCTTCCCTTTCATCTAATTTTGTACTCCATGTCCCTGCCACATATTCCCAGTCGCATTTACAAAATCTACTTTATCATTTTCGGATCATCGACCCTTTTCAAGATCCTACACATGGGGCATTCTCCCCTTCCACACTGGTAAAGCTCCATGACTTACTCAACAAGAACCTGAGTGGCGCAAAAGCTTTTCAACAGTAGAATGGCAGAGAACAGCTTGTCCAAGTTTTAGTAGAGTAGTTGGGGAGAAGCAGTATGAGGTTTGAAATGTTTTTTCCCTGCTCTCTCCAAGTTGTCTAGAGCCTAACAAGCTATAGAGTAGTTGGTTTATCTGAGATGGGAATTTTGAAATTCGATGCAGAGAAGTGCATTTCATTGCAGTTGGATATGGATAATTCTACGTGAAAACCCGGTTTCCAGCGGAAATCCCTGTTTTTAAAAATGTGTTATCTGGAAGCCGGCTTCCAAGAGTTCATCGCCGTCGGCCGGCATTTTGAGGCTGTCCACCTCATTTTTGAACACCGCATTGTGAGCGCCTGGCAAGCGCGATAACTCGGGAATGGCATTTCTGATCCACAGAGGTATGTAGATCAGAGGTAACAGAATCATCAAGCGCTGGGACAGTGGAACTGCCTCGATTCAATTTCAACCAGACATCCTAATTTATCCAACTAGCTCTGAAGGGCATTACTGCACAGAGATTGCGCTGGCTAATATCAATGTCTCAATTCATTGACAATAAGGTTCAAATGAAAACTCACTGCAACTTTTGAAGGCCATAAAGCACCAATTTGCACTGAAGGTTGCATCGAAAATAACTGAATTGCATCACTTTACGCTCAATGCAATCAAATTGCATCAAATTTCACGATGCAATTTAATTGCATTGAGCGTGCATCAAATTTTTGTCCAGGGAAAACATTCATAGCCTTGACTGTTGGAAACCCCACGCCCGGCAGAGCTATAAGTAGATGCAGGAGTTACAGCTCCGGACAATCAAAGCCCGCAAATTTTATGGTCCATATATATCACATCTGATACCGATCAGAATCGAAAGGAAACGATGAGGAAAGGTTCCTGAATTTTTTTGGTGAAATACTATCGAGCAGTTGCTGAGATAATGCCCATATTTAACTTGACCAAGGCAAAATTTGGCCAGGCACAATCATGAAAATATTTATTTGAGCTGTTTTCATCTATCTGAGCATGATCCTGGTGAAAATAAATATATTCAACGAGCGGTTATGCAGGCAAAACCCTGGGAAAAATCACTGTCATCTTGACAAAAGTCACATTTTGGTTGTCTGCAGCTGAAATCTAGGAAGTAAGAAAACACAAAGAGTGGGAACCAGTGTCAAAGCAAGAATAGGAGTTCAAAGACAGATTGGGAGCACTGGAGAAGGTATTCCAGTATATAAAAATCCCCCGGGACACCGATAGAGGTACACACAATTTTGTTCAGATGACCCAAAATTTTGGCTAGACCCTTTTTCTCGTGGAAAAATTCCGAAACATTTGGTTTAAAGCATATTTTGGGGTGCTGAATTCGAATATGAAATCAGCTAAGCGTAAAAAAATAGTATCTAAGCCGCTGTGCAATTGGCGGGCTTTGATTGTCTGGAGCTGTAAAACAAGCCGAAAAACGAGGTTCAAATTTTTATAGCGTCTGTTTACAAGAGACTACTCAGGAGTGTAAAATTTCGGTGTTTTCGAAAAAGAAAATCATCTTCAGTCAGTAATCGCGTGCTTGAGCTGGGGGCTGGCCAGAAGATGTATTTTTGTGAGGAATCAATGCGATGCATGGATAAACAAGCTCAGAAAAAAAAAGGTGGAATGATGTTGGATTGTGATTAGAAGCAACGGCTCATGGAATGCTAAATAGGAAATTCCAGGACATAGGGAGTTGGGGACACAATGACTCTGAACCAGTATTGTGACTATTGAAACTGCCAAGACTCCAAAGAGTCGATGTTCCCCGTGTTAGAATCGCAGGACCCAACCGGTAAATGAGGTTTCAGAGTGTGATGCAGATCCAATTAATAAAACTGCCTCCTTGAGAACTCAAGTGCATAACCATCCATGACATTATTCTATAGTAGGGTAATATTTTAGCATTCCATAGACACCTGCCGTAGGTGTCAACATATTTACATCTCATTCTCCCTCTTCTATGTGGTGTTTCCTATCATCGCTTGAGCATTCTTCCATGGGCACTGAATCTTCCAAACAGGGGATGTTTCTTCGGGATCAGCTGCCCGAAAATGTTTGTCGAGTGCAGGCCACAGAACACTTCGCCACTCGTTTTTATTTGCGTCCCAGCCCCGAGCCAGGTATTCATGGGGCGGGATATACCCAGAAGAATCGACTGTCGGTCCTCTCCGGAGTTTCAGGAAGGTTGGGACCGCTGCTAGTAATTTATTTTGGGCGGGAACACATTGATTTTGCACTTCCGCGATGGAAAGAGATATGGTTCCCGGCTTGTGTATCTCTTCTTTGGCTGAACATGAATATTTATTAGCAATGAAAGTTAATATGGCAGCATGAATTTGGAAGCATTTACGTTTAGGTATGTTCAAGGATCCTGTGCCAAGCTCAATCTGTTCCTGTTCAGATATGGAGAGCTTTTCTGCTGTTCTAATGTTGTCGAAGTAGCTCTGGAGCTACGGGTAAGCCAGACCACACTTGAGAAGC